TATAAATACGAAGATATTGCTCTAGCGACTGATTTGTTCTTTCAGTTTGACCATCGGTCTCCAGATGATATGCGGACGACATTGTTGATTGTATCCCAAGGAGCTTGCATACTTCTTGAAATAATGCGCTTGCAAACTGAGTACCTCTATCCGAGATAATCTGTCTCGGAAGATCATGCTGTGTCCATACCCTCTCATAGAAAGTACGGGCAAGGTCTGATGCTGAGAACTCATTGGTGATTGCAAAGAAATGCGCTCGTTTGGTCAAACGATCGACAACTACCATAATTGCATTGAATCCATGGGATTCTGGTAATTGAGTGATTAAGTCGACAGAGACAATTTTCCAAGGTTCTGTTGGAACCTCATTTGGCTGTAATTCTCCGTATTTTGGCTGATTGATGTTCTTGTTGCATTGACAAAGGTCGCAAGAACCAACATACTTTTTGACGTAAGTGGACATTCCCAGCCACCAGTAATTACGAGATAACATCTCATATATCTTCCATCTTCCAGGATGACCTGCACTGGCAGCTTCATGATGATGCTGAACGATTTCTCATCTAAGTGATTCCTTATTATCTGCTTTTGGCACATAGATTTTGCCTCAGTATAATAATATCCCACTTTCGAAGTTCCAGTCTTCGAGTCCTTTCGAGAACTCTCGTTGTCCTTTCTTGAGTAGTTCTTGGTATGAGTTATTCACATTGTCGTCTTGTAGTGCCTCCTTGATCTTGTCCACCAAATCATGATCTGTGACGACTGCAAGATGGGTATGTTGAATAGCTTTAATCGCGAAATATTCCGTTTTGAGCAGAGTCTTGTCGGAATTATCGAGATTTACCCCCTCTTCATGATCTGGCCTCCTGGACAGAGGATCCGCGCGATGCATTGATTTCCCTGGTTTGTGATGTAGTTGGATGTTGAACTGTGTAAAATATAGTGACCATCGAGCTTGCCGCCTCATCAGCTTTTGTGCTGATTTGAAATAGGTTAAGTTCTGGTGATCGGACCATATTTTGACTGGGAGCAGATGATCTTCGAGATGTTGTCGGTATTCTTCCAACGCTCGAATAATTGCGAGCATCTCTTTGTCATAGATTTCATAGTTCCGCTCAGCCTCATTGAGGCTTTTCGAATAGAATGCGATTGGATGCCACAACCCATCGTCTTTGAGTTGTTCGAGGCATGCACCAGTGGCAAAATCGCTGGAATCTGTTTCTAACCGGAATGGATGCGTATCATTCGGTAATGCCAGAATTGGAGCTGTTGTAAAAGCTTTCTTGAGAGCATCGAATGATTGTTGTTGCTCTTCGCTCCATACCCATTTCTGATCCTTTCGTGTAAGGATATTGAGTGGTCGAGACTTTTTGGCAAATCCTTCAATGAATCGATGATAGAAATTTGTGAACCCAAGAAAAGCTTGTACTTGCTTAACCTTCTTGGGTTCAGGCCAGTCGAGTACACCTGCGACCTTTTGAGGATCCATATGGACCTCGCCTTGAGAGATAATCATCTCTAAGTACTCAATCGAGGGCTGTTCGAAAAAGCACTTTTCTGGTTTGGCAAAAAGGTCGTTGTCCCGTAATCTTTTAATTACCTCTTTGGTAATCTTCTGATGTTGTTTCAAATCGTTAGTGAAGATTAGTATATCATCGAGGTAGACGATCACATGACCTTCCTGAATAAGATCATCTAAGATCTCATTCATCATGTGTTGGAAGGTGGCTGGTGCGTTACAGAAACCGAAAAACATAACCGTGGCCTCGTATAAACCGCGATGCGTCACAAAAGCTGTTTTCCATTCATCACCCTTGTGGATGCGAACATTGTTGTATCCCCATCTGAGATCCAGCTTGGTGAATATTGACGCATTACTGAGCTGATCGATAAGCTCGCTTATTCGTGGAATAGGGAAGCGATTCTTCTTGGTTATAGCATTAAGTTTTCGGTAGTCTTGTACCAGTCTTAGTGTGCCGTCCTTCTTCTTGACAAAGAATACTGGGGCAGCAATAGGTGATTTCGATTTTCGAATGTAGCCTTTTGCTAGGT